ATTTATTCATTACTTAAAAATATATATACGTACAGTACATATCAAGTTTCAAATTTATTTATTTACTAAGATAATTATAATAAAAATAAATTTTATATCAATCCATTTTATAATTTAAAAAATATATTATTAATTCTAGATCTTGCAGATATTTGATTTTTAAGTATACTTAAAATTTCTTAAAGCTTGATTCAATGTCAAAAATATGCAATTAATTTAAGTTTTTATTATATTTAAATTCGGCTGACAAGATTCAAGAATCAGTTGTCATTTTCATGAATGAATATAAGTTCTACTTTTGTCGTCTCAAAATGAAGAATAAAAGTACGCACGTATTTACCAAAGTTCGATTTTAATGCCTTTATACATATTTCGGTAGCAAATATTTTTTTCATCTTTGCTTGTCCAATCAAAAATACTATTTACCAGCCAATTAAGTGATAATGCGCAATGCAAATGTCATGTACTTAAATTTATTTATTTCACAAATAATAATTAAGGTAGAGTAATAAGTTAACACTGAGTAAATTCACGTCTATCTTAAGTGACCAAATCACTTTTTGTCAAAATCGGGCCTTGCCCACAATTTTATATGTCCTTTTCGACATGTCGTTATGATCGAGTCTTCACGGAAGGTTATTGAGCAAAGTGGCTCCCCATCAATTGACCTTCCCTAAAACAAATTAAAAATTCAAGGTCTAAATGTGACTGATTGATAGGGATAAAGGTAGCTACTGTTGTAATCTTACCGTTATGGGTTGTAAAATTGCAACTTCTAAACGAGGCAAGCAATGATGCACTGGGTCCTTTACATGTTCTCGTTCGCCCAAATTTCGCCTCAATGCGAAGGTTGCTGTATGTGATTGTGACGCCAGACTAGCCCTTCGATGACTTCCTGACTGATTAACGAAAGGCAACATAGGAGTTAATCGTCATATGAAGAACTCGCAAGCATCATAAAGATTAGAAAGTATTGAAAGATCAGCAATTACATAAACAGTGGTTGGAAACAATAATCAACATACGCTCTTAGGCTTGTGTAATGCATTCACACTGAAATCCCAAAGTAGTAATTTTGTGTCTTCACCAACTGAGCCGAAGCGATAATTACGTTCGTCACAGTTCCACGAATCAAATGATACACCAGTGACCCAAGACTGATGTCCCTGACAACGAGCGACAATGCGTTGTTCTCGAAAAGCCCATATAGTAACCAAATCATCTTGACCGCCCGTCAGCACATACTTACCGTCAGGACTCCAACAAACGCATGAAAATCCACCAAAATAACTACTATATGCGTCATATAATCTACATCATGAACAAGGATCGAAGATGAACCGATATTCGAAATTTCATAAAAAATACAAAGTAGATGCGCACAACCAAACTCACGCTTCTTTCATGAAATCTATAATTCTTAGATAACCATCCACCGAAACAGTTGCGACGTATTGGTGATCCGGTGAGAATGAGAATGCTGAAAATGAATAATTTTCGTTTTTAGAAGAAAGAAATGACAAGTCAGTAGAGCAACAAATGGCATACCAGTTACAGTTTTCTTTGAGACTTGCCAGTATGAAACTGGATTGTGTTTAGAATTTTTTGCTGGCCTTATCACTCGGAACCTTCGCGTGAACACGAGAAAGATCGACTTTCATTGTTAATTAATAGTCACCATCTTCATGAATCAATGATGCCTTAGCATTGTACACTAACCCTTCTTCTTCGTTTCCCACTGTTGATGTAAAATTCTGATCGTCCCTGTCCTTATCATATAAAATCATTGAACCATCCTGATGAGAGACCATAAATAAATTATCTGTACCGGGCACCCACTTTACCATCGTCACAGGGGTGTTGTTTATCAAACCCTGGAGATTTCCAATGGAAGTTGCGATTATCATCGATGGATCTTTCTAACTAACAAAATCAAGTCAAACATCGTTTACATACCTGCTTGTTCAGCCGATAATACTTGCTACACAAAGGGTCAATCCAAACTAGATCGCCAGACGAAAACCCAATTATAACGTCTAAATGGTCATATGAGCGAGTGAGTAGATTAACATCATGACATATAGGATGCTTGGTGAACTCAATTTTGGACAACGGATCCTGAATCAGACAAAGGATTAATTAAAACCAGAAATGCGCGTCGTCGTAAAAGCTATAGCAATACCTTTGGGTTATATGTTAGGTCTATCCAACAGAACGTTCGCCCTACGTTAAAAAATAAATAAGTATCCTCGCTCTGTCGATTCGCCAAAATCTTCGCCAGGTTTTCGTTTTGCGTCATTTTAGCCACAAGTGATGAAGTCGTCTTGGTGATATTTCCCTTTGCTTTTTTTCTTTTCATTACGTTGAAAACTGAAAACGCGTCGTCGTCCTTTTTTCCCTCGATCGCTGTCGGAACACTCCCATTGTTAGTTGGTGACTTTGCAACTTGTATCGGAGATCCAATATTGGAACCTTCAATGACCGGCGACAAAGGTTCCGCCTGTTGTTGTAATTTATCTAATTCCGCTTGTTCATCCAATTCGGCCACCAAAGTGCTTTCGGTTGCCGAGGTCGGTCGAATATCCGAAATATTTTCGTCTCCACGGTCTATCGCTAATAAGTTACCATCAGCATTAGAAGAGTTCTGACGATTGGAATATTCTTTATATTTCACCGAAACTATGGACACCGATGTTCCACTGGTCAAATTTGGAAATCTGGCTTCTATGAAAATGTTTTCCTTGAGTGTATATTGTCCTTCGGAAGCTGTAAATTCCTTACATTCAAGAGCTGAGACTGCCATTTAAAATTTAAAGAGGAAACTATGCAAATTAAAATTGAAAGAATTCCACGACTCGTTTTAAAGCTAAGATGATAAAATGTCCAATCTTTAAATTTAATCTTTATTTGTAACTATATAGCACATGTGTGCATTACCCTGCATAATCCCGATTTATTTATCACGTATATATTATATACATATATAACGTATTACAGAATGATATATGCAGTTTGTTGTGAAAGCGAAATAAACGCCAAGAGATGTCGAATATTCCATTTCCACGTTTGCAGCCTACTGTCGAAACGGGACCGAAACTATTTCAACCCGACTTGAATGTTCGGTTAATTTGCCCAGATTGCAAGAACCCTGTGCCGAATATCATTGAGGAGTTCGCCAGTGGCGACCTTGTTTGTGGCGATTGCGGCCTAGTTCTTGGTGATCGAATCATTGACACAAGGTCCGAGTGGAGAACATTTGCTAATGATGAAGGAGATGATCCTTCGCGTGTTGGTGCCGCCGCAAATCCACTCCTCGACGGTTCGCAATTGGACACTGTGATCTCTAGAAGGGACGGCGGTTCAGGAACCGCAAGAGATCTTAACAAGGTTCATGGTCGTGCTAACGCCGTAAAGGGCGAGAAAAATTTGATTCAAGCTTATCAAGAGATTACTGCCATGAGCGATTCCATAGGTTTAACTAGGTTAATCGCTGATATTGCCAAACAGTTGTACAAGCGTGTCGAGGAAGAGAAGCTTTTGCGCGGTAAAAGCACCGAGTCAATCATTGCCGC